GAAAAACAGAGTGGAGGGATGGAGGGGGGTGAAAGAAGATGGGGGGGCAAAAAGAAGGAAGGAAGAGAGAGGGAGTAGAGGTGATGGAGAGAGAGAGAGAAGGAAGAATAAGAGAGAAGAAGTGAGGCGAGGACACAGAGAATGAGAGTGTGGATTGGAGGGAAGTGTGTATGTGGACATGTGGATTGTGTGTGTGTGTGTGGGTGGGTGTGTGTGTGGGTGTGTGTGTGTGAGAGAAAGAGAGAGAGAGCTTATATGTCCCTGCATTAGGCAACATTCACACTGAGGTGGCTGGGTTGCAGGATTAGTAGTTTAATTGGTACCTCAAGGAATAGCAGAGACTTAACAACAGTGGAGTGGTACCACGGGTGGGCTGCAGGGCCATGGTGACACACACACACACACACACACACACACACACACACACACACACACACACGCACAAAAAAGCTTTTAGATAACTTGCTTGTGAGGAACCATTCCCTTACCCCTACTTTAATCAAAAGTCACCATTAAACTAAACCCTGTTTCTAAATTTTTGAAAATGTCAATATCAATGAGAGGACTGATACTGCAAGCAGAGGCAAATCCTCACAGGAGGGATAAGTCCATTAAGTTTCCCTCAAGGACTATAATGTCACACTTCGTAGATCTCAATGAAAATGTGTCTTGAATAAAAGGAAAATACTCCCTATATTCCTTGGGGTCAGACGACACCTCCCTGTGAACTATCGAATGTCTGTAAGCTGTTTTTCATGGAGCATGTATTTTTGTTGCTACCTGATTAAGTGCTCTTTAGTTCTCAAAAGCCTCATTCATAATGCAGAGAGAAAAGAGTGCCGGTCACTACTCCACAATATGCTGCATTAAATGACTACTTAACCTGTCACTACCTTTATCTGAGCGTCACATCTGCGTTGACCTCTTTGCTTGACCTCCCCGGCTCCTACCTGCGTACGGTCCGCTGCGAAAATTCTGGGTTCAATATGATTTCAGCACTGTGCAAATTTCACTTGACAGAAACATTGCTCTCAAATCAGCGATCCTATTCTAAGACCCTTCACACATTAATGGGTCCTTTCCCTGGTCGAGAGGATACGGAAGATGGATGACAGAGGTATGTATAAATAGAGTGGTGAGCGGAGATGACAGAGGGAGAGAGAGCAATGATGGATGGATACAGGATATAGAGAAATGAAGTGGTGAGAGAAAGTAGTGGGGGGGGGGCTGGGGTTGGGTGGGGTGTTATGCATCTTTAATCAGAGTCATCAGGCCTCTAGCTGAAACAATGAGAAGATAAAAAGAGAGCTACAGAGTGAGAATATGAAGGAAGAGAGAAGAGCCAGTGCTGTTTGTGTTCATAGTTAAAGTCCACCTGAAATTAAAATCCATTGTTGCTAAGAAATCAGTAAAAATATCCCTGGTGTTTCATTTAACTTGTTTTGTTTTTTTTTAACTTGAGGAGATTAAGTTTTATTTATTTTTGCTCCCTGTATCAGTGTTCTGGGGTAATGAATATTTGATTTACTGGTAATTTGACTAGTACAACATCTGTGTGGGTGGGCACTAAAAATAGTTCATAATATCACTTAGAGGAAAAGTTCTACATTTTGTTTGAGAGCTAAATGAGAAGACTGACACCTCGCTAATGTCTGCACAATAACGATGAAGCATGCTGACAGCAGCTGGCTAACTTATCTTATTACAAAGATTGGTCAGGACCAATAACTTCCTGGAGCGTGCACTACAGACGCTTGGCAACTGGTCCGGACAAAGAAATAATAAGCTGTGTCCCAGTTCAGGAGCCCCATCGACCGCGAAGTCCGAACCCAAAATGAGACGGCCTGGACTTACAGAGAGTTTCCACTTTGCATCCCTGGCTGTGCCCGCCCTCCCTGTTGTGCCAGAAAGCGCAGCTCATGTTGCCTAGCAACCTTGACAATACACACTTTTTTTTTTTTTTTTTTAATAAAAACAAAAACATGAGGTTTTAGGGTTCATGGTTTTTCTTTGTTCCACTGAGCTGAAACCTAAAACTTACATTTAAAAGTGTAATCCTCTGGCTCGCTGTCTCTGTTTGTTGTCATTTCATTTTCTTTATCAGCAAGCACTGAATCTTGGGATTGGGTTGGGCCCAAAAAAGGATCCACCCCTTGAAGAACTTCATTGCCGACAAAACCACGGATGCATTTCTTGGCCGCATTTGAAGGAACCTACGAAATGGGACAACCTAGTCGCACTAATCGCTCTTCAAATGCAGCCTCCAAAGGATGCGGCCGGAATTGGGACACAGCTTATGTCTGACACATAAACCGATGATTTGTCATGTTTACATACTTTTTGTAGATCGTGTTTTAAACAAAAGAGATCAAATGTGAGCTTTGGAGTTGGTGGTAGTCAGATTTTGTTGCTTTCAAAACAGAGCCAGATTAACTGTTCACCCCTATTTTTCCGAGTTCGGTGCTAAGCTACATTAGCTGCCTGTTGGTGGCAGTTTTGTGTTTACACTACGGACATGAGAATGGTATCTTCTCTAACTGTTGGAAAGAAAAAAAAGGTTGAACTGCCTATATGACCTCATGACCCCTTACATTACATCATGTCATGATTTGAATCACAGGACACTGTGTGGACTGCTGAAGTTACAGGATTCCTCTTCTTAGTGTGAGTTATGACATTTTGGTTATTTACCATAACTGGACCCTAGACGAGTGACAGATTCGAATCCCTCCTCTTTATAATAATAATATAAGACAAACACTCAGTGTGTGTAAACTGCCAATGACTCAGCAGGTGTTGAACAAAAAGTAACATCTAGTCAGAATCAATAATTCTAGAAAAGCAAAATTAACTAGCCTCCATTCAGAAAGTCAGAGGTACTGAACCAGCCATGTCAGCTTGTTGATAAAAGTCTTAAATCAACTCTAATAGGTTTAACACAGCCATGCCGTTCTCCAGTTAGTAGCACCACAGAAGTTGACAGCATGTCTCTAAGAAACACTGGCTCTCAAATGTCAGTCAATCACTGTCAGAGGACGCATCGACCCAGAGGCCTGAAGCGTAAAAACAGTTTCCACAAATATATCCAAAACTGTTTTATCCATTTCTGAAAAGTACAAAATATCAATTATCAAGCTTTTTTTTTAAATTTATTTCCTCACATAAAACATGAGAAGAATTTAAATTTCAGTCTGATTTTGAGACAGAAGTTACAGTAAAATCACAAAAATCATTTCTGATGTCTTTATATAAAACTAATCTTACACTGAAGAAAATAAACATGTTCTTCAAGTACAACTCACACCTGGCAGAGTTATGGCAATCTAGCAGTCGTGCTGCGTAGATCACTGCAATCATTTGGATTGTGTAAATGAGAGAATCAGTATTCCGCTCATATAATCCCAGTCAGTAAAATCATTCTTCATTTTATCAGGGAGTATATTCACCACCCTTTGATGTGTGCTTGTCAATGACACAAAGGGAATTCTCCATAGCAAATGAAAATTGAGTTTGCAGTAGAGAAATATTAGCAGTCTTGATGTCAGTTCTTCAGTATCATGCTGTTGATAACAAAGAACCCAGAACAGAAAAAAATCCAAGTGCAATTCTCTCTGCAGAGTCTGCAGTCCACTGTGCAGAATTTCCTTACAACATATTTAGCATTTTTCCTGTACTTCCTGTATGGACTCCTAGTTTACATTAGATATTAGATACTAACATGCTAACAGGCAAAACTAACAACATGGTAAACATTATAACTGAACATCAGCATGTTAGCATTGTAATTGTGAGCATGTTAGCATTCTGACGTTAGCATTTAGCTGTGCAGCTGTGCCTAAGTAAAGCCTAGCAGAACCGTTAGCACGGTTGTAGCCTATTATGAACTTATCTCAACTGCACAGAAGCTCAGGAGCGCAGACACTACGTAGGCGTCTCAAAGCACACTTGCTATTTTGGTTCTTGTGGCTGCAGCTGCGCAAAGTGAAAAAGGGCTCACTAGGGTGGACTATAAATCGGAGAGTGTGGTGATGAATAAATGAACTCTTAGCCAATCACATCACTGGTCTCATTTATCATCTCTCATCTGAATGAACCTCCCACCTTTTTATGCCACCCATAGCTACACTAAAACTGCAGCTGAGGGGACGTACATGTCAGTCACTGATTAGAGAAAATGACTCCCCATTCCTGCAGAGCATGGGCAGCTTCAACATGATGTCAGACTAAATGACGAAGTGAATTCAGTCTGATTTTTGTGGTCCGATCATCACCCTCTCCATTATTTGAAGGCACACCAAGATCCTATGACCCAGGATTTTTAGCTTGAACCATACCAGGGTCAGGCGTTGACTGAAATCCCCCCAACTTTGTGGATTTACAATACTAATATCCTGGAGTACCTCCTTAAAGAAAGCCTGCTCAATCTTCAAGTCAAAGGTATTGTACAGACAGCTAATTGTCTTAGCAGTATTCTCATTTATGTAGGTAATAACACTGAAGAGTGTAATTTAAAGCATATATTAAATGTAACACACTCTAAGACCAGGTCCAGTGTTATATACAGGTTATATATATATGTATACACCACTAGCTCTGCACCAATTGATTCCCTTTTACAACAGCAATAAAAACTTTAAGTGCAAAAGTCACAAACATTATACTGTAAATAACTACTGATACAGATTTGTTTATATATTTGTCATCTATTATTGTTTGAAAAACAACATTATTTTTCCAACTGCATGTGAACAGGTCATGAGTAAGTCCAGTGAGGGATTACAGAGCCAAGAGTTCGATTTGTGGTATCGTACAGATGCACAGCCTGTACGCGCCCTATTGATATCAGATAGCAGAGCGGCTTTGTGGAAATGTAAAATGCTTTTCTAAACTTTTCTTTCCAGAAGACATGCATGTGTATTCCTGTCCGTGAGTGTGGTGTGTTTGACTTGGCGCTGTGTATGTGTGTGTATGTGTGTGTATGTGTGTGTGATTACACTGACCTGCAGATGGAGTGTATCTCGTGCGTGTCCTCGTCCTTGCGGGCGCTGTCTGTAAGACTGTCGCCCAGAGCCATTAGACACTGAGCAAAACCCTTATAGATGGAGTGACACCTTCTGGCTGAAGCTGTAGCCACAGGGCACGGGCTCAGCACTGCAAAACACACACACACACACACACACACAAACACACACAGAGAAGAGATGAATTGAAAGTTGAACTTGCTATGTCATATGAACTAGGAAATCTATTTGAGCAGATATATCAGTTGACTATAAATGTATTACAGTTTCTCTTTGTTAACGGCTGCAGCTGTTGGACTGGAGTGAGATCAGACAAGTGTGCATATGAAAAGAGCGTCTGTGCAGCTGCAATGACACCGCTGTCTATGCAGCTGCTTGCTTCAATGATAGACTGAGAGGCTGAGTATTATCCATCATACACACAGAGCTACAGACAGCAGAGGGTCCATCTTCAGTCCTCCCCCCTCTCACTCATTCAGGGTTTAAAGTCAGCAGCTGATTGATTGCTCACATCAAAGATGAGACACATCAAGGCTCATTGACCAGGAAATGGAGATACAACAGGGGAGACAAGCCCAGTCCCACATGTATCCATGCTCAGTGATCATATTGTGTTCACAGCAACAACACAAACAATATTCATGTGTGAATGCAGCTAAGACCCAGTCACCCAAACGAGCTACAAGTGGAAAGTTTACTGAAACCGTCAAACACTCAACAACCCACACGAAATGCGGATTTTTAGTCTTAACAGTCAGAAAGGACACATACTGAGCAAATGATTAGATGCAGAAGACAACACCCTGGGCGACAGGTAGACTATGACGAGATTAACAATGCTAGGAAACCCCAACGGTCCCATGGGAACAGCCTGGTTCTGAATCACCTTATACATCTCAGATTTGTTCAACGTGTCAACGGGCCTGGTCCCCATTGATGGCTGAATACCCATCTACATTCATGAGGAATAGCAACAGAAAAACGGCAACAATCTTGAATGAGATTTATGCACCTGTGCAGGTTGTTAGAAACTCTGGTGTACTTCTTTGGGCAACGTGAGAAATGTTAAATGTTACAAACAACCACTTCTGCAGCGTCCAGGTCGACAGAAAACTAAGTCAGAGGGACACGCAAGAAACAAAAGAAATTCCACTCGGCACGCTCCACATTGTTCCTGCTGGCTTGGCAGTTTTTTAGAAATCATTATTTTACTGACTATGTGAGACTGATGGTTCAGATTCTGTAAAGATTTAACACGTTTGAAGTGATAGGGAAAACAACAGGCAGCCACTTGATCAGAGGGCAAATACGTGGCTCAATAAGTGGGTCTCAAGACACACCAGTGACTCTTCTGGGTATTACCTAATTTTTCTAGGCACTTCAGGGCAGCAACATGTTTCCATGCACCGTAGAAACACTGGTAATTTTCTGGGAGAAAAGTTCAATTATTGCAAAAAGGTTTTTGTACGCTTGGCTGAGGTAGAAAAGTTGATCTATCAATAAAAATTGACAAAATGACAGAGCATGTGACTTGTTTGTCACTCACATACATGGAGACAAAATGGAAAGTAGGGCTGAAAAAAATCAAAACAATGAGCTGAAAGGGGCAAAAAAAAAGGAGCTTCGAGAGGAGCTGCAGTCAGGCATCTGTGGGTTTATCGTTTCAAGTGATGCCTTTCACATTAATTAATAAATAAATCAATTGGTAACACAAAATTATTGGTCAGTGAAGCCTTAACACTTATATTTGAATGCAGTACCGAAACACTCTTACTGCAGAAGCTCAAATAATCAGGATCCAACCCAGGAGCAACAACAACAAATCTTTCAGGTGTCAAGCAGCTATAGCATCTTGTCAGTTGTCAGCATGGATTGTCGGGACAATGCTGATGGAAAATATGCATGACAGGGTGTTTACTTTCAGTTCTAGGTACGGCAAAGGTTAGAGGAAGATGTGACATGCATGACAATCTGTGCTTTGGCAGGAGAAATCAAATCCAAATTCATAAAGAGGAGATGCATTTTAAAGGCAGGTGTCAGGATGTAATGGAGGTAATGTGGTAACCCACAATTTTATTTTCTGGTTTTATAATGTGTCAGGCTTGAATTAAAGGGAGAAGTGTGAATCATATTTCAAAAATATTAATCAAAATCAAGGTCATTCGGAGAATTGCTTCTTGTTTATATCTTCATAGAAATTAAGCTCCTAACAAAATTTAAAAATCAGGCACTAAAACACACACACATGCACATTCCTGTGAACCCAGTCTCACAAGTCATTTACTTTGCACATAGCTATTTACAGCATCTCACCAAAGCTCAAAGCTGTTTACTGAGTCAGACTTCAGGATCAGAAAATTCTCTCAGAGAGACGAAGTGTGTTTGGTTGTTGCGTTTTAAAATAATAATTAACACTCATTCAGTTGTGTTCATGTTGCATGTTACAGAGGTTTGAATTAAGAGTGAACTAAGCTTTCATGTACACACAGCAGAGAACCACATCTCTTTTGGGACATGGGTACCACTGTTTGATTAGGCTGATCCTTTCTCATCTTTTAAGCACTGGCAAATGAATATAAATCAGAAGCCTGAGAAGACTTTGAGGAGTGTAAACTGTCATGAAAACAGAAGCTCAAATTATTCCATCACAGGCTTTCAACTTTACCGTCTCTCTTCTTCACCCTTTCTCAACATTTCTGGTTCGGATCCTGACCTTTCAATCACCGCCAACATCTCCAATGTTCTCGATGATTCAGTGAGGTCTGATGTTGTGTGCTTATTCACAGCTGTTTCCCTGTCTTTGAAGAGACAACCAATCACAATTTTACAGGTGGGTTTATGAATGAGGATGTTACCTTCAGGAGCAAGAGCCTCAAAACTAGTGACATGAAAACCATGTCTTCCACCTGTGGTTAGGTTTGGGCAACAAAACCTTTTTTTGGCCTCTTTTTGAGCAGCAGTAGAGATACAGACAGGAAATGTGGGGACGGGGAGAGAGAGAGAGAGAGGGTCATAACATGCAACAGAGGTTCATCAGGTGACGGTTGAACCGTGGATGTTATGGTTATGTGGTATGCTGTCACGGTTCAGGAAATACTGGGCCCAAGTACACGACTCTGATGCAGCGTTAAAATTCAAACAGCTCGCGCTTTAGACCCTGAGATACAGAGGAAGGAAGGCAACGGGGTGGAATGGCAAGGGATGAAGACAGCGAGCAGGTGGAGGTCAAAAACACCAGGTGAACAGGACAAAGAGGGGCAGGTGAAGGCAAAGGCCAACAACTGACAGGCGGGGGGGGGGGGGCGGGAAACAGGCAGAAGTGCAAACAGGGAAAAGGCTGGAAGGCTACAGCTCTGACGGCACAATGGACAATCTGGCAAAGAGCAGGTGGAAGTGGGCTACAAAGATATATATGTATTCTGGGTCTAATGAGGGAATGGGGAACAGGTGTGCAGGTGGGTGTGGGGAATCAGGTGACAGCGAAAAGTGGGAAGAACTGAGGTTACTGCAGGGCAGGAGGGTGCGGCGGGATCTGAAACAACAATGGAAACTGACTGAATTAATATTTATGATAATATTTATGGTTGGCACTTCTCCTGCAATAGCCATTCAATGTATCCACTAATTCATTCTCTGTATAGTAGTTCTATAATATATGGTTAGATTAAAGTGGCGGAGGGATCCTTGATGGGAAAAAGACTCACAATAAAAAGTACAAGTTCCAAGAAACGACTGCACATCTCCAGCTCCTCATCAAGGTACCTTCACTGTGTCCTGCTGCTGAGTGGAAAACTACTTGTGCTGTGTACATCATGACTGCAACTATTTTTAACTGTCTGATTATCAAAACTAGAAGGTCACTCGGAGAGCACAGACTTCAACCAATGACATTCAATCAAATCAAAAAAACATACACCAGACTTAAGAGAGAAGAAAAATAAATAAAAAAAAATCATGTAATCCAGATCTGCCCCAAAATTTCAACTTTCAAGTTTGGTAGAAATCAGGTCAGTATTTCTGTGTAGCTGTGCTGACAAATAAACCGACACGGGTCACTGCTTGGTAGAGGTAATGATGGTGGAGGTAACAAGTTTGTTTGGCCGCACTGTAAACAGTTACACCAGATAGTCCTGGTGTTTAATATCGCTGAAGTTGCTACAAGTGGACATTGTATTGTAAGAGCAGATTTTTTTTTTTTTTTTAGGAAAACAAATGAAATACATTGCTAGTGAAATTTTACAGCATGTTCAGTATCAACACATCGCAACCTGCCAGACTGACAATGTTTCCTCATTATTTTCATTAAAGAAAAAACAGAATCCAGGCAGCATTACATGTCCTTCAAATTACTTTTCTTGTAAATTAGTATCATATAACCGCTGTGTCTAGGAGACATGGTGGACAGGTCCCCATGGCAAATTGCTACCACAGATTTCCTGTTGATTGAAGATGATGTTGGCAGGACAGATCACACTTGTTACCGATTGATTAGGGGAAAATAACAAAGCTCCGAAACAGAAATCGGCTAAACATGAGCAGGATGCGAGACTGATTAATGCAGTTTAACAAAATGCCAATCGAGTCCGTTTATGAAGCCACAACATTTCTTCATCAGTCATCCTTCCTGTTAGTTTTATATACATGTGTGTGTGTTTCTGTGATTATCTGTGATCCCGATCTCTGATAACGTGGGAGGCAAGAGAAGCCGCTTCGGGTGGAGGAGAGACAGGTGATCAATAAAATGAACCTTTGGACTGTCTGACGCGTCTAAAAACCTAAACCACTTGTCACTTGACTGGCTTAAATACAAATACAATAAAAGGAATCATCCCCTTACCTCTCTCTCTCTCTCCACCTCTCGCTCTCCTCTTGTGGGACGAGTGATGGAGAAGGTGGAGACAAAGGAGGCACTGTGGAAACTTTTGGCAGCTTCTTTCTTTTACCATCTGTTGCTTATTCCTGTCTTTCTTCTCCTTGAATTCATCTCTTTACTCATTCATCTCGAAGCTCTCATGACAGGCAATGCACACCAATGACTACCTGCCTATTGAATGACAATGTTTGAATAGTTATCCTTGCATATACATGAGAGCGGGGTAATAAAGAGCGGGACTTGCTCTCTCTAAAAGA